GATGAATGGGGCGGGAGTTCCTATCGTACGGTAGACGGGCACGTCAATAATCGAAGGTCTCTTCACCCAAAGAGGAAAGCGACAGGCAAAACATCTGGCGAGGCTCAAGGCGGCGAAGCAAGAGATTTCGTCGAACAAAGCTTCACAGGCCTGCTGAACAAAAAAACAAAAACACCGGAAAAAAAAAAAAAATCACTTGTTTCACGCCGGAGAGACTTGAACGAACCCTCCCTGCCATCGCCAATTCTCCGACACCAGGCACACAACGCTTGACATTTTCATCATCACTCGACGTTCGTACGTACCGCTCTGCAGCGCCATCCTGGCGAGGAACTCCAGGGACGTGGCCACGTCGGGATGGGTGGAGCCGAGCAACGCTTCCCTGAGCTGCAACGCCCGTTGGTGAAGGGGCTCCGCTTCCGAGTCCTTGCCCTGCATAAGGGTAACATATCATAAGGGTTAAAAGAAGTTAGTAACGGTTGGTTGTGCTTGGGTTTCAGGGTAAGTTGGTGATGTAGTGCGTTGGTTGGTGGTTTTGATGATGGTCGAAATAGTGTTGGGATTTGATTGTGGTTGTTTGTTGTCGTCTTTACGTTGTAAACCGATTTGTTTCTGCCCGGTGTCTTCCGACAGCCGTTAAGACCATTACAATTGTGAAAACGAACCACCGAAAGGCATTTTTAATGCGGGCAGCAATAATCAACAACGGCAACATGGCATGAACAGCAACATCACCAAAAAACAAAAAACAATACAGTCAGCAACAACCACAGCAAAGGCATGAACAGCAACATCACCACAATGACACTATCAGCAGCACCACCAACAGCAACAACAACAACAACAACAACAGCGCTAAAAACGGCAACAACAACAATGCAATCAAATCAGCAGCACCAACAACAACAACAACAGCAACACAGCAGGCGCCCAGCAACGAACCCCCCCCTCCATCCAAGCCCACCCACCTGAATGTACAGGGTCCCCGCGAGGTTGGAGAGCAGAAGCGGCACGTCCGGGTGGTCGGGTCCGTGCACCACCTCTCGCGCACGCAGAGCCCTTCGGTGGAAGGCTTCCGCTTGCTCCGCATCCCCTGAGGAAAAACGCGGTCGGTTATCGTCGTGACAGCGGTTTACCGAGGGGCCCCGCAGATAAGAATAGTCGATATTGGCCCTGTGCTCAAAAAATATTTTTTACGTCGTCGCCCCGTCGGGCACCGATTCTTTTTTTTTGTTGACACACTTAAAAGAGAAACATGTAGGATGACAAAAACAACGCTCACCCGTGTTTCTTAAAACCTATCTAAAAAACATTTCGTGAATAAATTTGAGCGTCTGCTTTATACTTCACCGTGATGTATCAAGATTGGACCGGACACGACGCGCGATAAAAAGAACACACTGCGTTCGTGCTCTTGGCGGAAGACTTTCTCTCCCGTGCGGGCAGGTTAGTTCTGATTTCGCCATGACGGCAGGACGCACTTGGTACTTGAAAGAACCGAGAGCATTGAGAACTGCTGTAGAACTCGAAAGGAATATATATATATATGTAGACCATACATATATCCATACTAAATCCTATACAATAGTGCTACACAGCAGTAGCGGTCCAAGCGAGGCCCCGCAGACGCCAAGGCAAGGTTTACCTTGTTCGCTGAGGAGGACCGCTAGGTTGTTCAGGCTAGCCACAGCCACCGAGTGGGCCAGCTCCCAGTCCCTGCCGCTCTTCTCCTCTGAAGTCCTCGGGCTCTCCTCCGCCTCCCGCTGCTGCTGGCCCCTGATCTCCAGCTCTTGCTCCACCACAAGCAACCCGCTGCTGTTCCCCGTGGGTGGGGCGGCGGCGGCGACCGCGGAGGCGTTAGCCGCGGCGGAGGCCACGGTAGCGGTCTCCGCGTTGCGGCCGGCAGCGGCGGCGGCGGCGGCGGCAGCGGCGGCAGCGACGGCTCCGACTCCGACGGCCGTCATGTTGCTATCCTCGTCCTCGTCGTCTGGTAGAAGAACGCCAGTCATCATGCGGGTGTCACTCAGGGGGGTGGGGGGGCGTACTCTTTTTTGTTTTGCATGCCTTTGCGGTTAGACCATTCACGTGTCATCGAGAGGACGGAGCATTGTTCCCACAGGACCAACTACCGGTGGCCAATCGTTCCTTCCTACTTTGCCAAAGGTGGCTCAAAAATGTCTTCCGTAGTCTATCTATATGGGGGTGCGGAGGTTTCAAGGGGATTCGGGCACAAGGAACCGGGGGGGGGGGTACTCATGTAAGCGCATGCCGTAATCGTTAGACCATTGACCCCACCCACCCTGTAGGTCCTACGGCCCCGCTACTATTGCTCCACCGCTACTACTGCTGGTAAACAAGCACTGGTGCTGCTGCTGTCACTGCTGCTGCTGTTTGGTACTGCCGGCACGGCTACTCCTCTTCATCATGTACCGCTTCCACCGCTACTGCCCCCGCTGGCAAAACAAGCAACAACCCAAGCACACGCACCGACAGCACGAGCATCTCCGCCGCCAACGACCCCGCTGCTGCCGAACGGCGAGCACCCGGCAGGCACCAGGCTGTCCAGCGGCGAGTTCTTCGGTGCGGCCTTGTCGTCCAGCAGCAGGTCTCCGACGGGAGGCGTCGCCACTGGGGGGTTCGGGGTTGCCCTCGAGGAGGTAGCCTTCGTGGTGACCATGATGCCGACAGTGTCGCCACGGCCAGGCGCGGGCGCTCCGGAGGACGAAGAACGTAAGCGTTGTTGTTGTTGTTGTTGTTGCGGTAAGCTCGGCGGGGAGGCCGTGATGTTCATGGAGGCGCGCATGATGGACGTCGCCTCGGCACGCCTCCCTGTAGGGGGGGGGGGGCTCAGAGTGAGTGTCTTCGGGTTAGGGGACTGAAACACGCGTGTAAACGACTGGTGTAAGTCATACGTGAGAACAACAACAACAACAACAACAACAACAACAACAACAACGACAACAGCAGTAGCCACGACGAACAACAATAACCAGACGACGATCACGACGATGACACCAGCACTGGAAACAAAGAAAAAACGCTGGAATGCCCGGCGAAAAAAAAAACACACACACACACACACAGAAGGCGTTGAAGAAAAAAAAGTTCACTCGACGACCATACATGGGAGTTACTACAGGGCGCGTGTGTTCAATATCAATCAAGCCGATTTTTTGTTTTTGCCTGTCTGGGGGAGACGCAGATAGGACCTTGGAGGGGGTCCAAGATTTGTGGGAGGGGAGGACCGAAAAAATCTGAAAATTTCAACGGAAAGCCCTGTCTTGTTTTCTTTTCATCACATACCTAATTGCCTTTTTACCCAAACCGATAAGAGTACTGAGTCCAACGGGTGTTAAGGGCTTTTCGGTGATTGCATTGCATGCCTATTTCTCAACGCGGACAACGTAACGTCTACACCTTACACCGCACCTTGGTCGCGAAGGACGCCGGAGAGATTGCTTGCGCTCAATCCGACGCTCGGATGTTCAACACCAAGGGCGGCGGTGCGCATGTCCAGAGCCGACCTGCCAAAAGGAAGCGGACCAAAACAATCGAGCCGCGTCAATAAATAAACGTGTCAAGAAAACGTCAGTAAAACGCGACCAAAAAGCAACAAAAAAAAATACCGCAAGAGAGATCAACGAGAAAGAACACAGCAGTCGGATTGTAAGGGGGCTGCTCCCGGAAATGATCCCGGATGTGACCAACTCCATCACTGATGGACGAATGCATATTATTCGTAGCATAGCGACTGCCACTAGGAGTCGGCCAAATCGATGAATAATGTATAGTTGTACCGTTTCGTAGCGACCGCTGTAAGGGGAGAGGGCGAACTCGATGAGTGGCGTACATTACGTTCTTGACCAACTGCTGTCGCCTGCAGCATGTAGGGTCCTTGGTATTATTTAGGTAAAAATAACAGCAGTAGTCTCTGCGGTGGTCCTTGGTTAGGGTACTAAATGCCGGCAGCCTTGTACCCTTTTCAGTCCACGTCAAGCACTAGGGTAAAGGCCCTGCAGCCTGTGCAGTGGTAAATACCCTTTTCAGTCCACGTTCAAGCACAGCAGAGTGACACGCACCGGTAGAGCTCCTCGGCCTCCAACAGCTTCCCCTGCTCGTGCAGCAGTCCCGCCAGCTCGCTCCTGGCAGACGCCAGGGCCACGGCGGACTGCGTGCGGGCTAGATCCCCGTCCTCGCCGTCGCCGGCCCTTCCCGCGAGCACGCGCACGGCCTTTTCTTCAGAGGCGTTCTGGAAAAAAAAAAAAAAAGAGGACAAATGAAAGCGGACGTGTCATCAAAGGGTGACGTCATGCAACGATGAAAAAGTGAAGCTGTATCCAAGCTCGAACCGCCCACACAGCAGCTGCCACTCGAACAGCCCAGGGAACCGCACCACACAAAAAAAAAGCACGAAAGGAAGCGAAGGTGTCATTAAGGGCGCTGCGAGACGACAATCAGAGCTCGAAAGCTGACGTTCGAACAGCCCAACGCACCACACACCAAACCAAAAAGCTGGTACAAATTTGTACACAGCGGTCAACGTATCTCACCTGTCGGAGCAGCCTTTCGGCTTCGTCGACGTTGCCGGTGGCCCTCAAGAGCTGCGGCAACACCCTCCGCAGACCCATCCAGTCCTGCCGAGCCAACGCCACCATCTGAACGGCACGGAAGGAAGGCAATAAAACAAAGTCGGGACGAAAAAGTAAAATAAAACGTGAAAATAAATCTCTCTTGGACACAGGGCAACAAAAACAAAGGCGGGACATTAAGTGGAACAAAATCCTGCTGGGTTACCCTCCTCTCCTGCATGACCCTGCCTGACATATACGTCAAACGTATAAGGACAGGTGTTAGACTGGTGTTGGCACAGATGGGACGAAATTGCACATAGAAAAACAAGCCCTGGTCATGTCAACGTATGCTTATTATCCGGGTAGAGAGAAGAGTAAATTATGCCGTAACCACAAAACAGGACGGGTTGTGGTGTTCCCGCATCCGGCGGGGTTCCCTAAGCACACACGGAACCCCCCCCCCCCCATATATACCTGTTGGGTTTTCGTCGCTTGGCAACGACGTTGTAAAACAAGCCGCCCCCCCGGCGTTTGCCATCGGGATTGGGTTTTCGTCGCTTGGCAACGACGTTGTAAAAGAAGCCAATTCACTTCGTGAACTCGGCAACCAGGTTACCGTTTTTATTTTTACCTGCTTTTTTTTTTTTGGCGGTAACCACAATGGTGGTCGAGTAGATCATGTTGTGCGGGGTCGAGAACCCTCACTCCGCGCAAAGGGGATGATCGCACCACGTTGTGTTAAAATGGTCAAGCATCCCCGAGGCAGTTACACGGTGCTTACAACTGTCTCTGGAAGTGAAAGCACCAAAAAATAATTTAAGTCATACGCAGCTGTCATCCGTACGCAAGGAGTAAGATGCCCAACACCCTTAGCAAGATGCAGCTGACCCTTCATGCGACTCGCCGAATACCTCACGGCGCTTCGCGCTTGGTGATGTGAGAGCCTGGTCCGGTGAGAACCCGGCGTGCTCCGTCCCGGCTTTGTAGGGATTCGAGGTCAATGATCTAACGACTACGGCATGCACGACTATGAGTACCCCCTCCCCCCCCATATATACTGAAGCAACTTCTCGAAGAGCGTCCTGGTACTGTACCCGCTTAGTTTCGTTTGGACTTTCTCTCACCCTCTAGTGCAGGGGGGTGATCTCGCGCACAAGGGAGGTAAACCGTAGCAATAATTGCGTCACGAGCGTCCTGATACTCATTTTTTCGACTGTTTTGGACTCTCTCACCCTCTACTGCACGGGGGGGGCGATCTCGCGCACACGGAACCCCCTAGGGTTGGGGGGAGGTAAACTGAAGCAAATACGTACGTAAAGAGCGTCCTGATACTCTTTTTTGTCTGCATGGGACTCCCTCTCACCCTCTGCTGCACGGGGGGCCTGATCTCGTCGAAGCGAACACAGGGACCGCTGGTCGACACCGGCACCTTGAGAGCCCTCGCCCACTCCAGAGCCTTGTAGTCCATGCCGGCCGTGCTGTGGAACTTCTCGCTTTGCAGCTGAAGGCGAGGGAGAGAGGGAGAGAGGGAGAGGGGGAGAGAGAGAGAGAAAAAATAAGAGAGAGAGAGAGAGAGAGCGCGAGAGAGCGCGCGCGAGAGAGAGAGAGAGAGAGAGAGAGAGAGAGACAGACAGACAGAGGGAGAGAAAGAGGGAGAGAAAGAAGGAGGGAGAGAAAGAGGGAGAGAAAGAAGGAGGGAGAGAAGGAAACGGGTACATATCGTACTTCAGAATGACGCAGAAAACACTAGCAAAAAGAGAACACACACGCCGCCCCCCCCACTACCACACTTTGAGGCAAAAAGTGTTTACGGCGGGTCAACATGAGCCCAAAACACAAAAACTACTCTCGTATCAACTAATAGGGCTTAGGAAGTTAGGCTCCTCACCTCCACTTCCACCATATATCCTGATTCCACAAAGGGATACATACGAAGATCTATCAAGGGGTCCATAGAGAGGGCGTACTCTTATGTTTTGCATGCCCTAGCGGGTAGACCATTCACCACGCGTCCTCGAGAAGACGGGCCATTGTTCTCACAGGACCGATCACCGATGGCCAATCGTTCCTTCCTACTTTACCAAGGGTGGCTCGAAAATGTCTTCCCTAGTCTGTCTATCCTAACGATATATCCCTTCCCGCCTTTTCAAACCACTTCCTGGTACCTTATATTTTTTCCCAGCTCAGTCATGTACACTTCCCTCTCCTCTTCGTACCACGGACATTCCGCGACTACATGAACACGGTCTTCGCATTCGAAGCCGCAATCACATTTGAACTTGTCTTCTTCGTCGTCTACCGTCCTATGTCTTCGACGTTCTCGAAGGCCTATGTCCCCGGTCCTGAATTTGACCTTAAGCTTTGTCCCTGCATCCATTGGTCCATGTAGGTAGTCCTTGAACCCTATTCCTTCTTTCCAACATTCCGTACACTTCTAGACCCTCCTTATCCTCGGATCCATAGAGAGGGGTCTCGAAAAAATCATGGATAGGTTGCGACACAAAAACCTACGAGGGCGTTGGAAGGGCTTCTGACTTGACAGGCGTGTTGCTGCTTGGGCAGATGCGGTGGTTCTTTCTTCTCACCTCCACTGCTACGACGTGATTGGAGGCCTCGAGTTCGACGCTGGCCTTGATGCCCGTGAAGCCAATATTGCTGGTCTTGACGACCGGGCTCTGGGGTAGCCTCTCCCACATCACGGCCTTCACCTGGACAACGAGAAAAAGAGAGGGCCGGGCCGGGCCGTGCCACCATTATACATGGAAGGTCAAACATAAGCCTCAAAACATAAATCAAGTTTCCTCCATCCTGAAGACGCCCAGCAGCGACCACAACAACGACACCAACGCCGAAACTAAACACCGAAGTCGGCACACGAAACACTCGACAACCGGACAACAACGAATATGACACCACCACGACCAACAACACGGACAACAACTACGGCAGCATACGACACACCACACAACCAGGCATCAAAAACAACGACCACACCACGACACGCGATGCCCAAAAAACCAACATACGAAAAACTCTACAACCACCACAACGGACACCAACAAAACCACCACAACAACTCCAAAGACAGCACACGAAACTCTCGACAACCAGACAACCGCCGCAGCAACAATGAAGGGCAAAAGAAACGAAAGCAAAACACACACATACACACACACAAATGATGCCCCCCACGCGCGGTCCCAGATCATGGTATAGCTTTCACAAGCATTTAATGTTTTTAACCGTACGGAGACTGCCGTCTCTTTTCATTGGTCAACCGGTTGGCGCGGTCGATGCAAAACAACAAACCCACCCACACACACACACAACACACCTGCGTGTGGTACTTGAGCTTGCGGCAGAACTCGGCCGCCTCCTTGGCGCCCCTGCTGACCACTACCAGCTTCACCACGTTCAGCACGCGCCGCACGTCCCCCTGGTGATACCTCTTGGCCTCCTCCTCGATGTCTTCTACGGTAGTCAGGACGATGGCCGGGAGCGGCTACAACAGCAGGCGTGAGGGGGGGGGGAGGGGGGTTACTCTCATGTTTTGCATGCCTTAAATGTTTAACCATTGACCACGT